AACATACATGAGTCACAGCCCAGGGATACAGACCCACTCAAATACTGAAATTTAACCATAAGGTTATACAATGCTTCTCCTCTTGCACACCTTACCACACAACAACAGGGGTCCAGGGTAATAATAGTAGATTACAGTTGAAAGTGTTGCAAGATACAGATTCTCTGTGAGGAGGAGAATATAGGGAAGCCAAAAGTCAACAGGGGATACAAAAACAAGGACTCCAGGAGAATAGGAGGTCCCTGGCACATACACTACAGGAAACATTAAGCACTGCCCAACTTCCAGCCAGATCAACAGAAATCCTTACATAAGAGGCTCAGTTCTGATTAGCCGAAACAACATGCTCAGCTTTCAACAAAAAATCACAACACATGCAAAGGATAAGGAAAAAAACACAGTTCTAAGAGACAAAGCAAGCGTCAGGACTGGATTCAGATATACCACAGACGCTGGAATGATCAGACAGGGTATTTAAAATAACTAAGATTATAAACAACAAGTTTCTACTGTACAGCACAGGGAACTATATTCAATATCTTGTAATAACCTATGATGAAAAAGAATACGAAAACAAATATATGTTTGTTCCTATATGACTGAAGCATTGTGTTGTACACCAGAAATTGACACAACATTGTAAACTGACTATACTTCAATAAAAATATATTAAAAAATAAACAAAATAACTATGATTAATATGTTAAGGGCACTAATGGAAAAAATAGACAACATACAAGAACAGAGGGGTAATGTAAGCGCAGAGATGGAAACGCTAAGAATGAACCAGAAACAAATGCCAGAAATCAAAAACACTGTAAGAGAAATGAAGAAGCCATTGATGGACTCATTAGCAGACTGGACATGGCTGAGGAAAGAATCAGTGAGCTGGAGGACAGGTCAGCAGAAACTACCCTGATTTAAATGCAAAGAGGAAAAATATAGGGCAGATTATGCAAGAAATGTGGAACAATTTTTATATGTGACACATGTGTGATTAAAATGTCAGAAGAAAGAATGGAACATAAGAACTGTTTTGAAATGTAGGTTTTATTATTATTCAGGTCTGATGAGGCTAAGAGGTCAGAAGATGACTGCCATTAAAAAAAAAATAGTTCATTACTCACAGTTCCCAAGAGAAAGAGGCATGCACCACAAAGGGCCACGTGGAGAAGCACCAGGGTCCGTCAGGAAGTAGAGGGAGCAGGAGGAAGACATGGGCAGGAGACTTCACTATGGTTTTCAAGGGAAAAAACTGGTGAAGCAAGTTAAGCAGGTTTAGGATTCACTAGTTTGAATGACTGCAGGGGACACAGGAACTGTCCTGAATTGTTCTGTACCAGGCCCTGGGTGATGAGGGCAGGGGAAGAGTGGCCTTGAGGTGAAAGCCCAATAGAGGAGGTAGTTGGCGGGTCTGGGCTCTGAACTGATTGGTTTGCATATAAAAGTTGCACTCCTGGGTGAAATGTTTGCTAGCTCTAGGAATCAGCTAACCCTAGGAAGGGCAGTCTCACCCCAGTCAGAGAGGCCCCAGATGCCAAGCATCAAGAACACAGAAAATAAGGAAATATAGTTAATACAAGAACTATTTGAAGGAATGATGGTCAAGAATTTTTCAAATTAATGACAAACCCCAAACTACAGAGCCAAGAAGCTCAGAGAATACTGATTAGGATAAATGCCAAAAATCTACACATATGCATATCATGTTCAAACTGCAGAAAATCAAAGACAAAGAAAATCTTTAAAGAATCCAGAGAAAAAAGAAAACATTACCTACGTTACCTATAGAGAAGCAGTGATGAAAGTCGCAGGGGACTTCTGTCAGAAACCACGTTAGCAAAAAGAGAGGAGTGAAATATCTGATGTGTTGAAAGAAAAGAAACGCCAACCTTGAATTCTACATCCAGAGAAATTATCCTTCAAAAGTGAAGGAGAAAGAGATTTTTTTCATACAAACAACACCTGATAGAATTCACTGCTAGATCTGCCCTGTAAGAAATATTTAAAGAAGTTCCTCAGGGAGAAGGAAGATTATATAGATCAGAATCTGAGATCTACATAAGGAAAAGAAGGAATAAGTAAAAGTAAATCTCTTATTTTTCTTATTCTTCATTGATCAAAAGATAATCATTGGTTGAAGTAGTAACACTAACAATGCATTGAGTGATTATAGCATAGAGATAAGGAAAATGAACAGTGGTGATAAGAGAAAAGAGGAGATTAAATGGAATTACAGAAAATTCTTTGTTTTATTGTGGTAAAATCTAACATAAAATTGACCACCTTAACTATTTTCAAGTGTACAGTTCAGTGGCATTAAATCCATCTATCACCTCCATAACTCTTCATCTTACAAATCTGAAATTCTGTGTCCATTAAACAGTAACTCTTTGTTCCCCACTCCCCCCAGCCCATGCAACCATCATTCTACCTTCTGTCCCTATAACTGTGACTATTCTAAATATCTTGTATAAGTGGAATCATACAGTATTTGTCTTCTTGTGACTGGCTTCTTTCACTTAGCATGAAGCCCCCAGGTTTCATCCATAGGGTAGCATGTGTCAAAACTTCCTTTTTAATGCTGCATAATATTCCATTGTATGTACAGACCATACTTTGTTTATTCATTCATCTGTTGGTGGACACTTGGGTTGCTCCCACGTTTTATTGTGAATAATGTTGCTATGAACAGTGCTGTACACATAACTGCTTCAGTTCCTTTGGGTACATACTTAGAAGTGGACTTGCTGGATCACGTTGTAGTTCTATTTTTAATTTTTTGAGGTACTTCCTTACTATTCTCCACAGTGGCTCTACCATTTTACATTCAGCAACAGTGCACAAGGGTTCCAATTTCTCTACATCCTTCCAATATGTGTTATTTTACGCTTTTTTGATACTGGCCAGCCTATTGGGTATAACAGTTATCTTTTTATTTGTGTCTGTACCCACTTTACTGACTCCTATCCTTCATTGAGGAGTAATTTACATATAGTAAGTCCACCTTTCTTAAGAGTACAGCCTGATGAATTTTGACAAATGTATATAGTCGTGTAATCACCACCATAATAAAGATACGAAATATTTCCATCCTGTCAAACAGTTCCCTCTGACCCCTTTGCACTCAGTCTCCCCTGGCAACCACTGATCTTGATAGTTTTGCCTTTTCTGGACATCTCACAGAAATGGAATAAAATACTATGTAAACTTTTGTACCTGGCTCCTTTCACTTAGCATAATGTTCTTCAGATTTACCCACTTGCTGTGTGTGTTAGGGATTCATTTTTTTCTATTGCTAAGTATAATCCCTCTCTGTGGGTGTGCCACAGTTGGTTTCTCCATTCACCAGTTGATAGACATTTGAGTTGGTTCTTATTTTTGGTGATTACAAATAAAGCTGCTATGAACATTTACGGACAAGTATTAGTGTGAATATACGTTTTTATTTTCTTGGATAAATACCCATGAGTGTAATTGCTGGGTCATGTGATAAACATGCTTTGTAAGAAATTACCAAACTGTTTTCCAAAGTGGCTGTGTCATTATTCACTTTTTTTTGACTTGTAAAAATATATTCACTGGCTTTTAAATTATTCCAAAAATAGTGTTAAAAGAGAAAAAAAAACTTGTTAAACTCTGTATTTACTTCATTTCCCTTCTTTTTACTTTTTATTGAGGCACATTTGCATATAGCAAAGAAAAGCTCAGTAAATTTTTATATATGTATATATACATAATTATCACCCAGATCAAGACTGAGAATATTTACAATATCCCAGGAAGGCTACCTTGAAGAAGGGACCTGCCCAATCAGTACCCCTCTGGTAATTACTCTTCTGACTTCTATCATCTTCAGACTAGTTTTGCCTAGTTTTGAACTTCACATACAGTATGCATTCCTGAGTCTGGCTGCTTTTACACAATCTAATTTCTCTGAGGTTCATTCACGTTATTTTGTGTAGCATTAACTCACTACTTTGCATTGCTATGCAGCATTGCATTTTATGAATATACCATAGTTTGTTTACCCACCCACCTGTTGATGAACACTTGCGTTGTTTGTAAATTTTGTCTATTCTGAATAAAGCTGCTCTAAACATTCTTTTGTTGAACACATATGCATTCATATATCCTGGATACATGCCCGAGAGTGAAAATGCTTATCTGAATCGCTTATCTGAATGAATAAGCAGAATAAGATTGGATCCAGTATCTCCATTAAAAAAAATGTAAACAAAGTAAAGTCAGTGCAATCAAAAAAAAAAAGTGATGGGAGTGTACGAGGATGGACAATATTAAGTGTTACTGAGGATGTGGAACAGAGTTCTTATACCGTGCTGGTTGGAGCTTTAAATTGGTGAAACTACACTGGAAAATTGCTTGACAATATTTACAAAAGCCACGCCTGTGTCTACCTTGATCCACTCTGTAGAGCTCTGATTTTCCTTATCTAATCACTTACTTCCTTAATCCTCAAGTCCTCCACTAGAATGTATGGTCCCCAAGGGGCAGGGGCTCTATTGTCCAGAACTACACTGTCCACTATGGTAGCCACTACCCATAGGTGGCCATTTAAGGTTAATTAAAAGTAAACAGAATTAAGGATTCAGTTCCTCAGTCACAGTAGTCACATTTCAAGTGCTCAAGAGCCACACGTGACCAGTGGTTACCATAATGGATAGTGCAACACTGCAGAAAATTCTGTTGGACAGTGCTGCTTTAGAATACAGGTACCCATAATAACAGGTACTCAAGAAGCATGTTATAAAATAAAGATTTCTTTATCCCCATCTTATGAGTGAGAGGAACATAGCTCAGAAAGGTTGTGTAATTATCCTTAGATCACAGAGCCAGGAAACAGCCTCGCAGGGATTTGCACCCAGGGTTGTTTTGCAAACGCTACTCCCTTTCCCAGGAGCCAGCAGCCTCCTGCTGTTTAGAGTTCTGCGGGTCTCCCTGTCCTCCTACAGATCCTCCCACCCTGAGCTTGTACCTACCTGCGGAGAGACAGCACGCAGCTTCATGTAAGGATTGTGGGGTCCGTCCTGATTCCATCCCAGATTCACTGGCTGTGTGACCCGCAGCGAGTCCCTTTGCCTCTCTGGGCCTGAGCTGCATGACGATAAAATGAAGAAACTGACGGTGGTGACCTGCGGGTTGCAGGTGGCAGGCAGGAGGCCTGGTGCGACGGGGTATGTATTCCGCATCCTGTTTGGCGTCGGGGTAGGCCAGTAAGGGGAGCGCGATGGGGGTCAAAGTGCTTTGGTCGGTTTGACCTACAATAGTAGCTCCTGTTTCTTGAATGTACAGATGACAAAGCTGAGGCTCAGAGGGGTCGAGTAACTTGGCCAAGGCTTCACAGCTGACAGAGGGGTCGAGTAACTTGGCCAAGGCTTCACAGCTGACAGAGCTGGGGTTCGAACTTGAGACTCTCCGCTACCATGGCTGGTCCCGCGCGCAGGGCCGAGGGGCCCGGAGGCAGAGGCAGGGCTGCGGGAATCTGAAGGCTGCGTCGGCCGGTGAAAGGTGGTGAGCGGCCCGTCTGT